AGCGTGTTTCTTCTCCAAACGACAAATAATAAAAATAGGATGGAGTAATAAAAAAACAAAAAAAAAAAAATAAAATAATAAAATAAAAGGCAGTCCACGAAACCAGAAACCCTCGTTTCACAGTTCCAGCGCCATCTCCTCCACGGCTCCACTACAGCCCGGTGAGAGTAGTAAATCCGCCGCATCCACGGCTCCACCACCGTCTCCTCACCAACCAACTTCTCACCTCTCGCCTCTCGCCACCCCCAAAGTTCCTGCTGCTCGGGTCTCGCTACCCTACATCACCTGCTCCTCGGCTCTCGACTCCATAGGTAATATTTTGTTTTTCCACTGGACATTATGAATAGCTTCATCAGAACTTCAAATTGAAATCGGGCATCTTCTTCATTCACTTGATGATTTAGGTTTTCTGATTAATTGGCATGATTATTATTAAATTAATTTGAGAATTGAATTTCTTTGATATGTATTTGGCTATTTCTTTGATGTGTTTTGAGAATAGAAAGCAAAGTTACAATTGTTATGCTTTATCTGGGAGCATCTGCCTTTGCAGGGGACCTTGTTTAACAGCATTCAAACAATTATAAATCTGGATGACCCAAAATATTTATGCCTCAGTTAAATAAGAGGTTTTTTTTAAAGAAAAAAAAAAAACTTTTCATTAGGTTTATATATAAAAGGGTTAATTTCAGTCACAAGTTACATGGTTTTAATCATTGCATCAAGAATATTATGTATACACATGGTTTACATATAAAAATGTTGATCCGAATATTTGGTTGTTGCTTCTCAAAAAGATTATGACTTTTGGGTTGTTTGTATGAATTAATATTCGAATGTTATTTTTTAGATTTAGTGTCCAAGTTTATGGTTTAAGACCATTTCAATTATTTATTTGCTTTTATTTTAGGCATTAAAAGTGAATTGCTGGAATAGCTTACGCAACACGCAACGCGATTTACGTTACGCAGTATATAAACCAAAACGACGCAGTATGTTATACGCGTTTTAAACACTATATTATATTATATATATTATAATATTTTATTAAGGCACATAACCCTGAAATCTACAGAACTGAACCAGCCGTCTCCTCTCGTCTCGTTCTCGTCCCCAAATCGCTGCTCCGCACCTCCACCATCCCCAAATCGCTGCTCCGAGCCTCGCCAATCGCCATCCCCAAATCGCTGCTCCGCACCTCCGATCGACTGTTAATCGCAAGGAGGTAACGTTTTTATCTTTTTCTTATTTTTTGTTAAAAAAATTATTTGTTTCTCTTTCTCATGCTCGAGCTTCTTTATTGCAGTGTGCATGTGGATTCAATTTTATCTGTTAATTGAAAGTTGGTAGTGTAGCTCAAAATTTCCTTCAGTTTTTCTCCTTTCCACTTGTACCATATGTTCTCAAATAGAGTAGCAATTTTTAGGAGAAAATGTAAGAATTGTAAGCATTGTCTTTGTTAATTCTTGATGGGTGCTCTGTAGTTTCCTTGTTTCTGTCTATGATTATGTAATCTGAGTAATTGATATTTCATATGAATAATGGTGAATAATGGTTACATGGGCCAGGAAAAAAAAAAAAAAAGCATTACCATTAGGAGTTGATGTGTTTAAAATTCACTAGGACTTTTTTTAGCTGGTTATTTAAAATGTACAATTCGGTCGGTTTGACCAAACCGACCACGAAATTCAGGTTAAATTGATAATTTGGCCGGTTTCGGTTATTGGCATAGTATGGTTCATTTATTTCTGTTTTCCTAATTCGGGTTAAATTGATAATTTGGCCAGTTTCGGTTACTGGCATAGTATGGTTCATTTATTTGGTTCATTTATTTCTGTTTTCCTAATTCGGTTTGGTCGGTCAACCGAACTGACCAATGCACACCCCTAAGAAATCACTCTGTAGGGATTCACTCTCTCCACTTCATCTGCCCACCTTCAATACACTCCACAGTCCACACATAATAAATCAGAAAATTAAAAACCTAATCCATCCGCCCACCTTCACCCAAAATCACAAAGTGAAAATCCTAAAAATCAAAGCTCTTCCTCCGACCTCCGCGTTCGATTCTCCGACCTTCGCCTCCGCTTCCTTCCACGTAAGTCCAGGCATCGTCTCATATTCTCAGGCATCTCCACTAAATGTCTCTGTTCACGAGCCAAGCTCGAAGTTCGGCTGCTGATTTTTACTAAAATCGTTTGTTAATTTGTGAATTTGTAAGTGATGGTTGACTGCCATGTGTAGCTAAATTTGTTTGTAATTTTGTAGCTGAGATATGTTGCTAAATTTTGTAATTTGTTTGTCAACTTGTTGCTAAAATTGATTGTGAATTTGTAGCTGAAATTCTGAAATATGTTGTTGGATTGGAATTTTTTCTTGTTGCAGAACTTGGGCCTTTTTTTGGACCGTGTTTTTTTTTTCTTAATTATAAATATGGCGGGCCTGGCCGCCCAAACCCGCGGCCCGAGGCGGGGGCGGGTTGGGCCTGCATTTCGAAGGCCCGCCAGGATGGCGGCCCAGCCCGTCCCGCCGGCCCGTTTTGACAGCTCTTTTGTGCCTTATTTTTTCTGCTTCTCTAAATTAGGTTTTTTTTTATCATTAGGTTACAGGATGATGATGATGATGAGCTCAACAATGCTCAAGAAACTGAAGCTCTCCAACCCGTCTCTCGACTCCTTCGCTCACCAACTCCTCCAGAGATGCTCCGTGAGCGGGACTGCCAAGGGCAAGGCCAAGATCAAAACCGGGCAGCCTTTAAAGCGATCTAAGGTCACCACCAAAAAGGGTTCCAACGAACCCTCCAAGAAGGAAGGTCCCCGGAGGCAATCCCAGTTTGACGAGATGGTCGATCAATGCTTGACCGCCACGTCACCCCTCCGGTTCCTGAAGCCCAAGGAAAAAGCCCGGGAAGCCGAGCGTGAGAAAATGGGCCTCATAAGCAAGTCCAACGAACAGGCCAAGGAGAAGCTCAAGAAAAAGGCGAAGGAGGATGAATTCGCCTCTCCATGGATAATGGGTACGCCCGGCATGGATTTTATCACATTGGGTTTGGTCGATGCCGATAAAATACCCAAATACGATCTTAATGTGGAGGATGGGCGGCGGCTGGCTAAGGAGTATAGTCGGGTGCTGATGAGGAAGCACAGGGCAAGGCAGGCTGCCGAGACGAACCTGTTGAGGCTGAAAAAGGAAGCTATCGAGGCCCTGCCGGAGGATCTTAGGGCGGCGGCTCTGGTTCCGGATTTGAGCCCGTTTCCGGTGAACAGATTCATGGCCACACTGACTCCACCAATTGAAGGGTATATCGAGAAGATCGATGAGGCAGCCAGGAAGAGTGCAGCCAAGGAGAAGCTCAGATGATTGTGAGGTTAGAATACTTTTGTTTTCTTGATTATGTTTGTAATACGGTGGTGTGCTTTGTTTTTTGATTTTCGGGAATCTGGTGACAGATTAAGGGGGGGGGTTATTTTTCTCCCCAAAAAAGGAAAAGAAAGGGGAAGAAGTGGAAAAGAGGAAAGTAGTAGCTTGTTTTGTTTATTGAGGAAATGATTGATTGTGAAGGACTAAAAATGTCTGTGGTTTATGAAATAGTATGAGTTACAAGGGAGCCTGAGAGGATAAAATTGTTGGAATGCTTTGATTATGCGTAGATGCTAGTTTCACAAAGCGGGTTGAAGAATCTAAAACAAGTACTCTAGTTAAGTTATGCAGAATAAAGAATAGAAGGGTAGTTCAAGGACATTACTTTGTAAGTCAATAGTTGATTGTCATGTCGTTACATATGTATATGAAACTCCCTGTGTCTAACCTATACTGGCCTAAATTTTTAATTTTAGGCTGTGTCTGAGCATAGTGTAACATGGCCTGTGGTGTTTTAACTATATAATATTATTGTAGATTGCTTAATTGCTGTTAGTATGATATCGAGTCCTCGGTCCTTTCTCTCGGGATGTGGGTAACAAGCAAATACTCCACCAATACTACTCTTTTTCTGATCAGTTGGGTAGCCTGGATAAGACTGAGCACGAAACATTTGAAGAGATTATCTAGCTTTGTGCATATTCTGCCTGTCACTATGTATATGTGAAGCTTTATATTAGTATAACTATGTTTCTTGTCCTTGTACCAGGATTACCCTCCCATGCTCTGTGTGGTTCAGAAAATCGTCGTTGGACAAACCGGTTGAAGCTGACTCACCTAGTTCATAAGTTTTTTTTTTTTTTTTTTTTTTTAAATCATTTCTTTCTTGTCTCCTTCCAGTTCGGTTTACATCTCCAATATTGTCTCATCGACAAGACCATAGACGAAGTTGTAATGTAGCCTGTTTTTGCGCTACCTTTTCCTTGAATTTGATCGTGTGAGTCGTGTAATAATGTGCTCTCTGATCCCTACCTGATCCATCTTTCCTGGCAATGGCTTGTTTTGCTACTATTTTTGTCAACACTGCCTCAAAGTTGGACTAAAGCGGGTTTAGTGTGGTTACTGGAATTCAGTATATTTGTTCTGTGTATGGCTCGTTAGTCGTTTCAATTGATTGGAAAGAGAAGTGGAAACGCTGTGCAGAGTTATTTCAAATGCCAAAAAGAGTTGAAAATGCTCTCAGACGAGTTATTTGAAAATGCCAAAAAAAGACATCATTCAAAGTTCTCTATGAGTGAGTTATTCGAAAATGCAAAAAATAGGTGAAAATCATTCAAAGTTCTCTATGAGTGAGTTATTCGAAAATGCAAAAAAGAGGTGCAAATCATTCAAAGTTCTCTCACTCATGTTCAGGTGCGAGTCCTTGTCCACCTTTAAAGTATTCATTCTTGTCGAAGCATAAGAATTCGTGTCAATTTTCAGGCACCATTTTTGTGGTCAAATTGAAGTGACACTAATTGTATACTTTAATAGAATGGTACCGTGAGAGATTTTAACCTTTAGATATACATGTGAGTTAGTTGTTTTAGATAATTCATGGCTAAAATCCCTCACGAAACCATTCAGTGATATACTCTTTTCCTACTTTAGCATTTTGCTACGACATTGCCTGAGGTTTAAAGGCGGTTTTCTTTCAAAAGAAAGAAAGCAACTACACAGTAACTAAAAATGTGCACATAATTGGAGCATTTTACAACTTGCTGGAACCTTAGGTTTCTTGTATTCTACCTAACAAGGAACTCAAAATACACAGAAACAAGGATAAAACAAAAAATGCAGCTCCATGTTATTGCAACCAGTCATAAACAAATATCCCATAAATCTTCAACATATCACTCACAACGATACAAATAAAGATAAAAACCTCTACTTTGTAAATTCAAACAAAATTAAAAAA